TCTTTTTTGATTCTTTTGCATAGAGACTTTTAAAGTTATTTCGGAGCTGAAAATAAAATTTTAAATTATTTTATTAAGTAGATTATCTAAATCTCGAAAAGTACTTTAAACTGTATAAATTCAATTGAATAAGATCGACCAATCACGTGAATGTCCGCCTATGAGATGTACTGTATATCATATAAGCAGCAGGTGATACATAATTTAATTTTTGGGATATCTACGATATTTACCGATTGGAATGACGTATTCCTCATAAATAAAATATGATATAAATTTATCATCAAATCAATCAAATTTCACCGGGAGGCAATGCAACGACAAGTTCTTAAAGCTTACTCAAGCCTATTATGTAAGTAGAGATCGAATTATTGATTATTCTTACATAATATCTGTGATTGACCAAATAATTCACATCTTGTTTAGACGGCCCGTGTATATCGTAACAGAACCGGAGCATCGCTCGGGTAGAACTGCTAGTTCGTTAAATATTCCTTCTCACTTTTTCCTCCCCTCCTCTATGTTCATCTTCTACCTTCTTTAATACCTTCTTTAATTGTTCATCGATGTTTTCAACAGTAGCCATTTTAAAAAATAAATTTTAAAAATTAATAATCAATTAATTTTCTATAAGAAAATTAGTAAATCATCTCTAAACATATATTTTATAAAAATATTTTTATTCATTAAATCAAAACATAAAATAGAAATGATCTGTTGCTTTGAGGGATTGACATAATGAAACTTAAATAAAAGATTACAGATTTCCTATTATTTACAAAGTCAATTATGCATAAATCTTTGTGCTATCTTTATCACCTAACGTGTCTTTACCAATGAATTTTTGTTGACTATCTTTTAATATATCAACTAATTTCTCTAATTTCACCAAGTCCTTTTTAGTTACTTTACTTTTCTTTGTTTTATCCAACTGAGCTTCAACATCATATAATTTATTTCTATAACTCAATAAAATCTTATTAATTAAATCCAAAGCTTCATGACTTTTCTCTAAAACTTTTAACACATTTTCTGCATGTTTTAATTCATCTCTTGCATTCGACACATCAATAGATTTATCATCAATTTTTTCCAGATAATATTCTTCCTCATTCAACTTGAGCCTATACTCATGAATGCTAGGACCACGATGAATAAATTTCATAGCCTCAGTAATACCTTGTCGAACCTTTTTTTCAGCAGGACCTCTGTATTCTTCAGCATCTTTAATAGCTTTTCTTGCATCGGTAACTTTATTTCTAAATTCCTCAATACTATTAATCAACTCTTGTATACGACTTTTAAAAAATGCTTCATCTTCCTTATCAAAAAAGCTATCAAATAAGCTTGGATTCAGTTTTGTCATCATCTCAGAAATTTCACTGTTAAGTACCCAAAATAACATGTCACCTTTACGATACATATCTTCTAATGCTATTCCTGCATCCATTATTTTGTCGGAAAATTTTCGAAGTAGTCTTGCTATGGATGGACCTGTTTGTTTGAATGCCGGACTATCTTCAACAATATTTGCAAATCTACGGCTTGATACTGTTCCATCCATTACAGAACCAGATGCTAAAAATAGAAATGAAAAAAAGATGAATATTTGTTGTAAAAATAAATATTCGATTTCTATTTTAATTGCTAAAAAATTTACATGGTAAATCTACTTGAATTATATCTTCAACTAATTTTGTTGTTGAATTAACAAGTTCATCGAAAGGATATTGTGAAGTCATCTGTGATGAGAATATATTAAACTCGTTTCTTTAATGTACCAATCAATTAACTTTTTTTTTTTTATAAACAGCTTTAAAACACATGTTTCAAAGATTCTAAAAATAACTTACTGAGGGAAAAAACATATAAGCTAAAATCATGCAACCAGTTAAAACTAATATAGTCCGGTTCCAACGATTTTTTTGCATTTTTGCTTGCTCTTCAGGAAACAACGGGGTTTCTTTTTTGACTTCCTTTTGTTCTACTTCATTCTTTTCCATTTCTTCTTGATCTGGATTACTTTTATTTCGATGCCGAAACGTCTCGTCAATTCCATTTTTCCGAATTTTTGCTTGTTCTTCAGGAATCAACGGGTTTTCTATTTTGACTTCCTTTTGTTCTACTTCTTCATTCATTTCCATTTCTTCTTGATCTGGATTACTTTTATGCTGAAGCGTCTCATTAATCCCATTTTTAATCAACATTTTGAAAAGGAAAATGATTTCGTGAGAAAAATCAACCATTATAATTGGATTGTATTACTCGATTATCGTGATTTTGAATACTCGGGTACTATAACTTGATTGTTTATTAATGAATTTCTGCGGGGAGGGATTAGAAATTTGCAGAAATACTTGACAAATTTGAAATTTGGGCTAATTATAAATTTAAATTTATTAGTTATAAATGCCTTATTAAAAAAATGTTTATCAATTTTCATTTAACTTGAATGCCAATACAAAATCCACAACCATATCGGAAGGAAGAGATTATTAACTTAAGAGGATGAGATTTGAATAACACGTGAACTTGATAAATATAAGTAATTTTGATGTTATAAATGAAAATTCGCAATATCTTTTAAATAGTGAATTTGACAAATTTATAAGAATTTTCAATAATAGAAATTATATCTATCTTATTCGTACAAATTATTTTTCTAAAAGTTATTCATTAAGTTTCTATCGAATTTATAAAAAAAAAATAAGGAAGTAAGGATAAAATGTAAACAGGTAGGTCAGCCAATTCACAATATTTATGTGACTTCAAAAGTAATTCCTTTCCTAACAAGGTATATCAAATTAGTTTATTATTATTAATGATTTCATTAAATTCAAAATACAAATTGCTTACCTGTAATGCTTTTCGACTTTCAGGGTCGATAGAATTCCATAATGTCGTTTTGACGTCATCTGAAAGGCTATTTAGGATAACTTTCACTGCGCTAACCATCCTTGTTGAAACTGTTTCTGGTAATATTGCTGCAGCAAGTACCTCAGCGAAGATTGAAATAAAACGAGGAATATTCTCATTATTGTTGCCTAAGATTGCAGGATGTTGACTAAAAAAATAAAATCGAATAAGTATTAAATAATGCACTAAGAAAGCATATAATAAACTTACGATTCTAACAAATCCAACAAGTAAGTATAGGTTTGTGATGCTTCCTCTTCATCATAAAGAATAGGTAAACTGGCAAACCAAGCAGGAATTACTACGTTAACATCAAATTTACTATTATTATACTTTAAAATCTTGGAAATAGCGGAAATTGCATTTTCTGTTGCGTAAACATTTTCATCTTTCCGTGAACCCTCGGAATTTATTACTTGGAATAAAGGTGTTAATGCGGCTGGTTTTAATAAAGAATTAAAATATAGTATTATGTTACGATATAATAATAAAGAATAATTAATTTAAAACTTATTTGAAATACCTGCAACAGCATCTGCATAATTTTCGCCACCAAATTGCGCACAGACTCCAATTCCATAAGCTGCAGCTTGTCTAACATCAGAAGCTGAATATTCATTAAATGATTAGATCAGCCACAAAAATAAGAGGTTTTTATCATATTATAGTTTTTAAAAAAAAAACTCAACCTATATCCAATAAAGATGCAATCATCTTTTCCAAGAAATGAGTATGATAGTTCCATGAAGCTGGGCCAGTAAATTCAACAACATCGTCTAAAACACATAAAGCCCATTGACGAGCAGCTGGATTAGCGTCAGCTAAAAATGTTGTGACGATTGGTAGCAACTTATCAAATGATGGAAGATAAGATGTTCGATGAGTTTTCAAAACAACGTGTATAGCTTTTGAAAGTTCACCAAGAACACCTTCTTCAGTTGCCTCCTCTTCGGCTATGATGTCTTCATCTTCAGCATCGTAATCGCCACTATGCCGAGCTTGTTCACGTTGCTTTAATCTCTGATAGAATTCTTGTAATTGAGCTTCAGTAGCGTTTGTAAACGCTTCCAATAGGGAAGTATCGAGACTATTATCACCCACTGTTTCCAATGATTCGTAGAAAGTAATATAAAGTTGCCATAAAAAGCTAGGATCAGGTCCACCCATAATAGCCTCAATTATTTTTTTTGCAATTGTACGCCACATATTTAATACATAATCCTGATTAGCATTAGCTTTCTTGACCGAGTTAAGAAGGTGTGGAATAGTCGCAGCTGCCGCATTTCGTATACCTTCATGGAAGCAAAATTTCAATAGAGGCAAAACAATTTCGAGAACACTATCAACGTATGGTTGAAATGCAGGACCAAGTTCTCGCGCATAGCAAATCAGCATTTCTACTGCTGTACATTTTTCTTCTAATACAGTAGTCTTAATACCAATTTGCTGGATATAGACACATCATAAATATAGATAATTCGGAATATATAAAATTCTTGACAGAAAATTAATTACCTGTCCTTCTACTCCAACGAATTCCCAGCCGTCATCAATCGAGTATTTGGAATCAATATCGTCGTCGGCTATTTAAGAAAAATTATTAAAGTTATCGATTAATTTGTTGTATCATAACCATAACGGTTAATAAATTTATACTTACGATCTAAAATAGCAAAATCTGGTTTCAATAGAGCGGATTGCAATAGAGGAGGCATTACAATGGGCAAATAAGGTACAAATTCCTCGCCAAGTACTTTACACACTCTGGCCCAAGACGCAATAAGGTACGATATTTGAGGATCATCAGGCTCGGTAACAGATTCTAATTAAATACAATCGAGAGTTTAATCTCGTGATTGCGAAAATTATTTTCGCCAAAAAAAAAAAATTATTAACCCACGTTGAGTCTGAGCCAACAATGTAATAAATTCTTCAGCGTTTGGAGTGAAAATTTCCTTGCCAACTGCTAAAGCTAATTTTAAAATACAGTATGATTAATTTATAAAACATTTTCCAACAATTAATCTAAATAATATTTTATTTAGATACCAATAAGACTAGCACATTCCATGGCCTTTCCACGTAATAATCGATATTCTTTTTGAGTAGCATTTCTCAATACGTTTATCAACAAGGGAATAATGGAACTATAGTACTGTTAAGTTTAAAAAATTTTAAATTTTGCAAATCTACACAAAATAAAATTAACTCTTAATTGTTATTTACCTTAACAAATCTGTCTTCGGCACTATCAGCAACAGTTGCTATGGACGTAATAGCCTGCTCTTGCACATAAGTTCTACCCGAATTGAGAAGGACCAAAAGTCTTTCAAAAATAGTATCCAAATATGGCTCGAGAATTGATTTATCAGCAGCCTCGCAGAAATTTACTAATGCTGCCGCAGCATGAGCCTGAACCCTTTAATTAGAGCATTATGAATAAAAGTCAAGAAGGTAATTTCGAAAGATATTCACAAATTTATAAATACCTTGGTTCTGGAGCGCCCATTACGGGAATCAAATTAGTTAAAACAATATTATGAAACTTCTTTTGAAGTGTATCTTGAAAATCAGTTGACATTTGACCAATAGCATTACATGCGGCATATCTAACACGAGCATGCGGATCTCGAAGATATGGTAAGACCAGTCTAAGAGAATTAAATTAACAAATCGAGTCTAATGAATTTTATATAATACTATATAATTATAATAGATACTTACTCAATGATTCTTCCTAACTCAGCTTCCATGATCTTAACACATCCTTCGCCAATTGCTGAAATAGCCATAAGAGCAGCATGACGCTGTTGCCATTTGTCGGATCCCAACATTTGAGGAATATAATGGAAAGCAACCGGGAGAACCGCCTTTCCGCCTAAATACACACACATTTAAAAATATATAAAGTTTTGAATATTCGGATATTAAGAAAAATCTATGAGAATGATAAATTACCAAGGTTTCGTGCTAATCTGTCCATTGCATGTTCACCAATGACATAATTCTCATCACTATCATCATCTTCTAGCTAAAAAGTATGAAATGAATATAATATTTAAGAATTCTGAAACAATTGGGTTGATGAATAACGTTGCACAAAATAAATTTAATCTTTACATCATCCGTTGAATACCAATCCTCCGAGTCATCTAATTCTGTCATCATTCCTAAAGAAATCGGAATAATTTGTGCACAAAAATCTTGAGTCTTGCGCATCATAGACGGGGAAGTTTCGGATAATGTAAGTAGGAGTTCGAGAGCTGTTTGGCGAGTGCCATCTTCAAAAGTACTGTCTTTCATAATATTGATAGCAAAAGGCATGACGCTAGGGAGTACTGGCCTAAATACCCTTGGTAAATTTTCTCCAAGTTCTATGAACACCATAATGCCATCTACCAAGCCATCTTCATCGCGTTGTGCTATAAGTGGAGAAAGCACCTTTGGTGCATTCAAATTATAAAATCACTTCGTCAAGCTCCAAGTATAACCATCGGCCTTTTATTTCATTAATGCATATATATTTCTATATATAAGCTCTGCATATTTAGTGATAGTGAATATGTAGAATAATTGTACCTCTAACATCTGTGGCATCAATTCAGCAAAGGAGTTTCTGTTTTGTTGGTCTGTTTCCAGCATAAAAGCGACTGCAGCTTTTAATGCAGCCATACGTATCTAAAAAAAAAAATTGTCATAATTAGAACAAAATATTTAAAACATTAATAATAAATTTTCTTTATAATTATTAGTACATACAGCTGCGTTATTAGTATCTTGTAAGTTAGCTGAGAATACTTGTTTAACTTCATTTATTTGTATGTCAGTGAGAAGATTAGGAACCGCAGAAAATATACGTAAAGCAGCTTCGCGATGTTCCGATGAAGGTGTTTTGCTTGCTTCAACAAGTGCAGGAAGTAATTCGTTCCACTTTTCTATATGATAAAACAATTATATTAAAATCTTGTTCTTAATGAAATTATTAAATAAACTCGTTCAAACATACATAAATACTTACGTCCTTTTAGGAATGAATGTTTTGCTACTTCGGAGATGGCATCGCAAACTTTATGACGCACTGTATTTTCTTGTTCAACTGATAAAGACATTAATATTTCATTTTTGATAGCTTGCCTACTCTGCTCTTGAAGAAGGTCCCAAATAGTTGACTCATCAAGTTTTGAGGCTTGATTTGGTGCTTTGAATGCAAGCCTCCGTAATAATACAAATGAAAAAGAACGGTACTAAAAACCAAAAATCAAAAATGATGAAGCGTGAAACCATCAAAATAAATCTAAGCCCCTTTCCTCAATTTACCAAACCAATAAACCTTTTAAGCAGATCCTTACGTGAGTTTCTTCATGTGTTCTTCCAAGTTGTGCCAGCGAGAGCAACAATAGGTCCGGTTGTTGTGCGATCCACTGTTCATTCAATTGTTTCTCTGCACTTGAACGAATACTGTTGTCATTGGAATCCAAGTTTGATAAAACTTGGTTCAATTGAGAAACAACCTCTGGTGAAACTAAAGAAGAAACAGTGGTTGTCATTCCGAGAATTTCTAAGCATGTAGAAAAACCCGAATTAACCATTTATAAAAAAAAAACTCAACAACACACGTAAAATAAAACTGATCTAAAAAAAAATAATCGCGTTGACCTACTTGAAGCTACCCTTACAAATCGTTTGTCTTTCAGAAGTGAAACAGTATGGATGACTGAACAAGAGAAAAAATTTTTTTATTCGAAATTTTTTTTTTGGAAAAAATTTTTTTTATATCACGTCATTCTTTATCATCAGCTGATCAGACCCAAATATTTCGAGCTTATTTTTCAAATGTAAAAAAAACCAAATTGTCACAATTGTATTATGTGGCGTAAATAAATTCATGCGCCACAAACATGGCACACAAAAAGATGATTAAATAAAAAATTATTTAATTTTTCAATTCTTTTTATTTGCAAATATGATAGACAGCCTTTTCGTTTTAAATACAGCTGGGTAAGTGAATGATTTTCTTCTAATGAAATAATAGATCAAACTGTTACATTATTTTTAATTTAATTTATTTTTTTTTAGAAAAATTATTATTGAAAAACATTGGCGAGGACTTATAAATCGCCAGGTTGTTGATTATTTTAATGACCATGTATCTAAACAGTCTTCCCCAGAAGAATTAGTACCAGTTATTTCGACACCAAAATATCAATTGGTTCATGTTTATCGCTCTAGCCTAACGTTTTTAAGTCCTGTCTCTAGCGAAGGTGACTATGAACGCCCTTTATATTATACAATTTTTCAACAATTCAATTCTTAATAAAATTTGAATAAATATATTACAAATATAGTTGATATTCTATTAGTGATTGAATTCCTTCACAGGATAGTAGATATATTAGCAGAATACTTTGGTGAAATGTCTGAAATCTCAATAAAAGATAATTTTGATGTCGTTTATCAGGTTAGATTTACAAATGAAGATTTGTGCTTATAAATCTGTAACTCTAAGCTGATTAATTCCTTTATAAAAAAAATAAATTATTGTTATTATTTATAATAGCTTTTGGAGGAAATGATGGATTATGGTAATTCTATGATTTATATTTTTTCAGATGATTCTTTAATGATTGAATAAAAGGAAGAGGAATGATTTATAATAATGATTTTGATATTATATGATGGTTACCTTATCTTTGTCCTGGATTATGTATACTTTCTTATGTTATGTAGGATATCCATTAACTACCGAACCTAATGCTTTAAAGGAAATGATTGTACCTCCAAATATAATAAATAAAGTAATAAGTCAAGTTGCCGGAGTTACAAGGTAAATATCTCAAAAAAGTTTCTTGATTAAATTATTCATCTAATATTTATTTAGTTTTTGAACTTTTTAGCGTTACGCAGCATATTCCTAGTGGAAGTACTATATCTAGTATCCCATGGAGAAAAGCTGGTGTAAAATATACAAATAATGAGATATATTTTGATGTAATTGAAGAGATTGATGCTATTGTAGATAGGTACGCTTTCATTAACAATTAATTAATTAACGAAATTAGGACAAGATTTATATTTCCTTGTGAATTAATTTAGCAATGGTGCAATAGTATCGTCCGAAACTCATGGTTTAATACAAGCAAATTGTCGTTTATCTGGTTGGTAAATTTATCATTCTAAATACTGTTTGTTAACTAGAAATTAAATTGAAATTTTTATTTAAAAAAAAAAATATATATAGGAATGCCTGATCTTACATTAAATTTCGTAAATCCAAGAGTATTGGATGATTGTAGTTTTCATCCTTGTGTCAGATATAACAAATTTGAAAACGAACGTGTACTTTCTTTTGTACCACCTGATGGTCATTTTAAGTTAATGAGTTATCGGGTAAATTTGCCACATCATCAATCTTTACCAGTATATGTGAAACCCCAAATACATATTGGAAACAATGGCGGTATGTTATCCTTTTATTTGTTGTGAATTTGTCACATATCTTACCATTTGTTTTTTAAAATAGGTAAATTTGATATATCAATTAATATAAGAAATACAGATGGAAAGCCAGTAGAAAATGTTTTACTAGTATTTCCTTTAGCTCAATCTGTATCGAATGTTAATGCTACATGTAATCTTGGTTCATATATATTTGATCCCGTCACAAAGGTAAGTGTATCGAGAGGTTTATTTATGTAGTACAGAAGAGCTGTTTAAAAAGATTAAAATTTTTTTTTTAAAAAAGAGTATTAGATGGGATTTAGGTAAGTTAGAACTTAAAGATAGACCTTTGTTATCTGGAAACTTTAATAGCCCGTAAGTATTAAAAATTAATGTTTGTAATATATATATATTTTTTTTAAAAAAAAAAAGAATTATTGTTCTTTTAGTGAACAAACGCCAGAATCTGGACATACAATTACATTAGATTTTTCAATTAATATGTATGCTATATCAGGACTTAGAGTCGATAGTTTAAAGATATATAATGAAGGATATAAACCATATAAGGTATGTTAAGTTAAATCTGAACTTAATTTACTTGAATTATATTTCAACTTGTTCTTTATATTTAAAGGGCGTGCGAAGTTTAACTAAAGCTGGAAAGTTTCAAATTCGGACATAAATGAGATTAATTTACATCTCAATTAAAAAGGAAACATTTACCCCTTTCTTATTTATTTATTACAATAATTTTGCAAATAATTTTAGAATCAATTGTAGTTAATTTATTAATTGTAACTTTTTTTTTTGGGAAATTCTAATTATACGTGAAGATTTGAGGTTGGAGAAATATATTCGCTTGATTGATCTTTGGTTGTATTATATTTGATCTATTTTGAAATGAATATTACTATAATACATTCTATCATTTATGTGATACCTAACAATAAATTGATATGTTTTGAAGAATGTAAATATATTTATTGATCAGAAGAAACCAGATACATGAAAAAATGAGATTGAGCAATTGTTTTATAAAACAGTAATCTTACTTTCTTTAATCAATGAAAATGTGAAAAATAATAAATAAATAATGAAATAGTAATATCAATGATATAAAATATTTTCTTATATACTTTATTAAATTTTGGTTTTAAAGATGTATTTTTATTGGAAATTTTCATATGCTAAATAAGATTCTTAAATATAACTTATTAATAATTTAATCATATGTATTTTAAAAAATCTATTTAGTAATCACAAAATTTATTATTTTTTAGATCATTCAATTATATTATTTGGTTATCATAAATTAGGCAAAATTTAAGTAGTATAATAAAATTTTTTTATTATATTGCTTAATTTTTAACACATCCAAAAATTTTTTTCATTTTACTAAATATACCTTTCAATAAGAGAAAAGTATAAGCTTACTCAAAATTTAAAAAAAAAACAGAAATACTTATTTAAAAATAAGATAATAATAAATAAAATAACAGTTAGGGAAGTGACACATATGATGTAATTATGGGAAGAGGAGGGTTTTACCTCTCACATGATTATTAGGTTAGCCAATCATAATAAAGAAGTAAAATAATTACAATTGAATCTCACAATTCATTATAATGAGAAAATTCAGTAATGTTTTAACAATTTATTCGTTATATAGTATACCAAATATCATATCCAAATTCGGTATATAGGAGGCAGTCAGTAAAAAAGGGGAAAATCCAAAATTTTTGTTAATTTTAATTATTAAGCTAATTTTGTGCACATAACCGAGATCAGCCAAATAGTCTAAAAATATAAATTTTAACCAAAATTTGAATTTCACCCTTTTCTATTGATCGTCTCCCATATAATAATAAGTTTGGGAATAATATAAAACAAATAAATATAAATAATAAATAACTAACAAATTAAATTTACAAAGGAATGCTTGCTCTTAGCCAGATATAGATTAACCTATAATTGTTGATCCTAAACATCACATAGAGGTGACAAGCTTCGTTCAGAATTTTTTTAATAGAATTCGAAAAAAAATGAGTGAAAAGGGATAAGCAAAGATAATGGAAAAGATAAAGGAAAGAGTGACTAGTTAAAATTATGAAATATGAAAAAAAATAAAGGTAATTAAAAAAAAGAGTAATAATAGTTGAAAAGATGGATTATTAAGGGTTATGTTGAGTTTCGGATTGAGAGGATTGAAAGGATTCTAAAAAATTTAAATTTAAATTTAGGTTAAAATAATATTGATATTAACTGAATAAATTTTTTACCTTGAAATTTTTTGGCTAATCTTGCAAGCCTTCTTTTGTGTATATGTGATACTAAATAACATAAATATTTAATTAAATATCAATTGAAAAGTTTTATTATTTTAACCTGGTCTTTCCAAAATCAGTTTTGAATTGTTTCCCAAAAACTTTTCTAATATGAATCTACCTTCCTTTCTTATTTCCATCGGCATATTTTTCAAATAATTAAAAAATTAAAATTATTAAAATATTATTGTAAATACAATTAAGATAAATATTATTATTCTTTCATTTACTAATATTTTACTTACTTTACAATCCCTGACCATCCCGTTAAATTTTTCTCTTGCCTGTAATCCATTAAACGTAGTCGTAAACCTTTCTTGTATTGATGTCACAATCTCATTCCAAAAAGTCAACTTCAATCTTTCGAATCTTCTCCAATAATCATCATTCCTTTCTCTCCTTAAGTCGATCAAAAGTTGCATTTCTTCATCAGACTATTCGATAATGACAGGCATTTTTGAAATTGCAAAATTGTTATTTGAGAAAAATTTAAAAATTGTCAATGTAAAAGATTAAACAATTACAGAAGTAAAATGTGATAAAACTTTCCTTATATAAAATTTATAAAATTGTATTGAAACATGTCAGTGTTCAATGTATTCAATGAGTTGGCAATATATCTAATTTTTATGCAAAAGTCAAATAAATGATCTAATTTTTTAGCAATTTCAAAATTTACGCAGTTTTCGCAATTGAAATTTTCAGCAATTTTAAATTTAAATTATAGAAATTAAATAAATTAAATCAACAAATTAATCACCACTGATTCAATACTGATTAACCTTAGATTCAACACTAATTAATCTGAGGTTCAATACTAATTAATCCTTATAGAATTATAATTTGATTTACTATATGGTCAAAACTGCAGCTAAAAATTTAGCTAAACTAATTATCCAGTTTGAAACTGGTTTATCACTATTGTATTGTAAGATAATGCTTAATGTTTATTGGTTAAATTTATTAAATATAATCATGTGAACAATAAATCTCACAAAGGGTGGGATTCTATAGTAACATATAATAATATAATATCTGTCACTTCCCTAATAAATTATGTAATATTTTAAAATTTTATTAAAAATTTCGAAGAAATAAGTATAAATTTAATTATCTATTAGTATGAATTAAATATAAAACCAAAATTAATCAATATCAAAATGGTCAAAATTGGCATTATCATATCACATAATTATTATATAAAAAATCTAATAAAGAGTACAATCTCGGTCAATATCATTCTGTTTCTCATGAAAAAATTAATATTTGAATCCTTAAAACTAGATAAATTCAATGAGCTAATATATATCGAATTATGATTAGCCAATTACGAGATATTCACGATTGAATGTTAAATTCAAATTCTTTTAAATAAAGTTTATTGAATTATAATTTTAGACAATAATTCAATTGTAATTATCTCATAATTGGATGATCTGAAATTCATGTTTATTGGCTCATTGGATTCGTCTGATTTCAAAAATTTGAATGATAATTGTTTTATAAGAAATAGAGCAATATTGACAGAAATCATACTCTTTTTATTTTTAAATATTTTAGATACTATTTGAATAATAAAATTAATATAGATATGATTTACTGTGATTATATAAAGAGATATAATTTGATGTGATTATATAGGAAGTGATTTTCTTACATTCATTATAAGATGGACTAAAAATTGATGTGATTATATTTTATATATTATTATGATTATAAATAGGGTATTATCTTATTTAAAAATTTGAGCAGAATTATAATGTGACTAAAGAAGAGGTGTGATTATATAGGAGGTAACCATATAGAGAATCAACTGTAGTTGACATTTTCATATTTGATAAAGTATCAATACCTTTTTTTGATAATCCCAAATGTTGAAAAAATAAACCAACATTAGGTTTAATTAAAGTTATTTATTTGTTATGAAGAGAAGTAAGCTGATAATAAAGAACTACAATTCAATTTTTACTAGTAGTATTAGTTTTTTCACATTTTTTAGTTGGATTTGTTAATTAATATAACATATCAAAAAATTAGCGTAACTTAGATATTTGAGAAGCAATAATATTAAAAAATTCCTCAGGATCATAAATCCCATTGCTATTTTTGCAATATTAAAATTGATAATACAATTTTGAAATAATGGAGAAAAAATTGATATATTTAAAAAAAAAATTATTTTTAATTTTTAATTTGTTTAAATTTATTAATTTTAAAATATATTAAAAAAAATACATTGCAAAATAAAATTAGCTTTCTAATTCTAAAATTAAATTAAATTTAAATGAACATTATAGTTTTGTAAAAAAAAAAGAAATATTAATTCTAATAATAAAATACTCTTCTAATTTTCAATCATAAATTATAATACCTGTATTATTTAAATATTATTTGTAAAATAACAAATCTTTAGAGATATCAGAGCATTTCTGCATCTCGTTTGCTAATTGCTCTTGTGTATTTAAAACTTGCTTATATAAAAAATCCAATTCAAATTGTTGTTTTTTAACAATATTATGTAAAGAAGCCAATTTAACTTATTGTTAGAACTCCTAATAAGTCAAGTTGACTCATAAGTTAAATGAGTTGACTCGAGTTGAGTTAAGTCAAGTTAAAATTTTTCTGCATTATTTGACTCAAGTCAAGTCATTAGTTGTGTTGAGTCAATAAATTGACTCGACTCATTTCAACTCGAGTTGATTTAGTTGACTTACGTGAATTGATGTTACATGAGTTATTATTTTGAAAATTTTGTATAATACATTTTTTGTGATTTTCCAATTTTTCGACAGCCAAAATTTTCTTTTTAGGGATTTGTGTAACTGTATATCCTTATGTGGTATCTTGTGTAACTCAAATTGGTAGCAAAATACAATCCCGTAAATTTTCGGTTATGAAGCTTAAAATGAATATTTTTAACACATTTCTTAAGTATTTCAACATTCAGTGATCCATTAGAACTGCAACACATATCATTTTGATGAGTGCATCTCGGCGAACACGATGGTGCAGATTTCATGAAATTCTGATTGGTAGATCATTAGATAATAGCCTTCGAAATATTAATATAATTTTATTATATTATTTATATAATCAGCAAATATATTTATGGGGTTTTTATTTGACTCAAGTTAAATCAAATCAAATTTAAGTATAACTCAAGTTGAGTTGAGTTAGTGTTTTAAAATTTTTTGACTCAACTCAACTTGACTCAAATTTTTTGAATTGAGTTGAATTATCTTTAAAACTCGATTCGATTCGACTCATTAGGAGCTCTACTTGTTATTATTCATAAATATTTGTAGTTATAGTAATGAGTATTTTTTAAAGCCTGAAATTGAGGTTAAACTAATGTTAATACCCTTTATAATAAATGTTCAGTTACATTAGATGGTGGTTAGCATGTTGCTTTTGTTTTAATTGTTATTTTACTTTTTCTACCAGGTTACTTATATATTACATATAACATTTATGACAAAGTAAATCACCTTTACATAATAAATTTTTGCGTCAGGTAATACGTTATTCTAGGATTTTGGCAACTTTTTCAACATATATGTTGAAACTTTTCACCATTTTGTTAAGAACAAGCTGCTACATTTAACACACTATAAAATTTTGGTTTTCTTTATCTATATATTATATCTATATAGTATTAGTTTAGTTAGGGATTAATAGCCCAAATATGAAATTAAGAAAAATGCTATTTTGTAGTCTATTCTGAATATTTAAACAAAATTTTAATTATAAAACATATATAGCTTAATAAATTTACATTTTCTAGTTTAGTTTATATAATGTAGTCGATTTTGATTAGCTAAATTTAGGATAATTCTCATACTATCTGAATCTGTATCTGAATCTGATAAATTTGAATCCGAATCCATATCTGTATTTGATAGATCAAAAAAAATTTTTTAACAAAAATTTACCTTTAACATTTAGAATAACGTTTTAATATTTTTAATGTTAAAAAATAACAATTTTGTTGATTTTTTAACAAAAATCTGCCTTTGAAGTTCAGAATAGCAATTTAATAATAAAAAACAATAATTTTATTATTTTTTTAACAAAAATCTACCTTCAATATTCAGATCAGCATTTTATTATAAAAATTTAATTTTTTATTAATAAATGCCACATCTAACTTTCAGAATAGCATTTAATATAAAAAATTAATTTTTATTAATTTTTTTAATAATAAATGCAGCGTCTATTTTTGGGATAGCATTTTATTATTAA